ATGAAGGTTCACTGTAGAAACGGTGGATGTCTAGCCAAAACAGCTTACTGAGTTTATTAAATAAATAATTTATTACATGCGTTATTGTGGTTGATCATGATTTATCCCACGAGTGAAATTGCCAAGTTGTAATTACATGAAATATTTTTTTCACAGTTTCGAGGTGCGACCAAGGATCGAATCCTTCCGGAATGAACAAGAAAACCGCGGAGTTTCCTTGAGCTGGTGACGTACTCTGACGACATCTTGAGGGGCTTTCGTAGTCTCGAAGTACGATGTTCGCCTCTGATTCAACAAGTCAAGGGTTTAAAACCTGACAGCGACGCGAAATGTTAATCTCTAAAATTGTATCTTCTCACCTTCGCTCCTGCTCTCTAACCATGTTCTGTGGTCTGCTTTGTTCTCCACTTTCTACCCCCGCCCCCCTCTTTTTTTAACCCTTTGCCCTCTCATCTGGGCAACTGACTCTTTCTGCAGCCGTTCTACTGTTACTCCTTGGCTCCTTACTGCTGCCTTTCAGTCACACCCAGGTCTTAGGGTAGGTAAGATCAAACACTTAGCCTTCTCGGAAAAGGGCGAAAATCTCAGAGATCCCCGTGTGCAAGTTGTGCAAGTGAAAGATTCCTGGGTGATTCTAAGATTGATAAAAGTAGTTTCAGTCGTCTGGGCAAAATTCCAAATTAATTCCTACCAAACTATAATTGCTTAATATATTATGTCCCGTGCGCTCATATGACCTAATGCAGTTGCGAACGCCGTAAAACACTTACCAAAAAAAAGAGAAAAAACTAACTACAAAGTCGCGGCAGAGCTAGCCTGATAAGGAATTCACCCTGAAAAAATCAAAATCATTTCCCAAGAATTTCAAAGATCTATCTGCTCAATATTCTAGTTTTGAGAAATTCGAGGTTAAAAATTTGAGTTTCACAATATTATGGTCAATCTTTTTCGAATGCAATTTTTAAATTATTTTGGTAAGTACTTCGATGTATCTTACGATTTTCATAGAGCAATTAGAACATTTGGCTTCTGAATTCATGGTCTTAGTAACTCAAAACGGCCACAAATGTCAGATAGAACTTTGTGATTCTAAGGAAGCGAAATATTACAACTTTATTTTTTTATGAGAGTGCTTTTACGCCCCCATCGACTCAATTTAGATCATTTAGGAGGAGGGTTTCCACCTTGCCTGTCAATGTGCCTACCTGGGATGAAAGGGATACAACATCCCAGAAGAAAGGCCGAGAAACTCGACAAAAACTCCCCTTTCTCGGGAATCGAACTTGGGTATCCTGCGTGCTATAGTGAAACACCTATTTAACTGCTGCACCACAAACAGGGTTCGCCTTGGCCGAATACTCTTGACGATAACGATTGTGAAAATACTTACTAGTGTTGGTAAATAAGATTGTCCCAGATAATTGCGCGCAAAAGCTGAACAGAAGAGAGAGAGAGAGAGACTGAGAGAGAGAGAGAGAGAGAGAGAGAGAGAGA